ACATTATATACCAGACCTTACAAGTGATAAAATGGGCCGGTTGTGCTGGGCACAACCAAAGTCTTCTAGTTTATTTCATATGATAATGCGGGTATTACACATGGATAACTTGAATTCTTAATAAATATGTGATAATATAATAAATAAATAAAAGATGGAGACAAAACAAACTATAGCAACAAATCAGATAGATAAATTGCATAATTAATATTCAAGCCAGTTAGCACCAATTAAGTGAATTTTAGGGGAGGACAGGTTAGAAGTCATTTTAAATTGCGCAATTATTGCTATGTGTATACAAGAGATTTCTTAAACATTAGTCCAGCAATGCACATAATTTTACTCATAAAATATATAATATGGCCCGCCTGGGCCCATTGCCGAGTCTAACTAACATGTGAAAACCAAACTAATTAATTAGGGGTGATTGTTTATGGTTTGAACAGTAAAAAAATTAATCAAAACTCAAATTTAATTCAATTTTAACTCAACTTCATTATTTCCTATATTATTAATATAATTAAATAATATCCACCAATCATTTTTACACATCACATCAACTTTAATTCACTATTCATCCACTCAAATAATTTTAACTAACCATCACTTCCAATCATTTTTTTCTACTTTTACATCAAATCAATTTTAATTATTTAATTTAAACATTATTTTAATATATCCACTAACAACTAATTGTACCACTTTTTGTCAAAACTAACTATAGTTAAAAACAAACCAAATAAAAACTAGTTGAATCCATAAACAGTCACTCCCTTTTAACATTTCATAGAATTCAAAGCTATGACCTATTATTATAGTACAAATACCAGGTTTTATGTAATTCATACACACATAATATACATGCATTGAAAGTTGATGCATGAATCGGTTATAAGATATGTTATCATGGCCATTTGGAGACCAATTCAATAAATTGAGTTTTACCTTTTGAAATTTTAAGAGCCTACATATGGTGTTTCATAATTTTAGATTGCAATATATGATACTTAGGATTAGCTCATGTTATTCTATTGATATATGTTAAGATTGTTAAATTTATAAAACTCTTTAGCAACTCAACTACAAGTACATTTTAAAAGTTGATAATTTTGGTATCTGTTATCAGTTTTTCATATATGATATATCAAATCAATTATCATTTATAGACTAGCTTTGATTTGACATCTATCAGGTGTTTAGCCAGAAATATATTGTACACTAGGATGCTAGAACCGATTTGTTAGAGAGTACACAATTTGGCTCGTAAAAAGTCAATATTGACTTATTCATATAATGAAACATAAAATAAAAAATTAATTCAAACAAGAAGAACTTAATTGATTTCACTCGATTTTTTAAGTAATTTGAACTTGCCCATTTATTATACGAGCACTATTGTTCTAACGGCCTAGGCGGTGCCCGGACGCCTTTGATTTGCACAAATCGGTCAGGCGGCTAGGCGGCCCTAGGCGGGCTTGGCAGGCTCGGCGGCGAGGCGTTTAGCGGTGCCGAGGTGGGCATAGGCGGGCCTAGGCGCTCCTAGGCGGGCTTGACGCTAATTTTTCAGTTTTTTGTAATTTTCTTATTTTTTTGAAATTCTAATTACATTATTTTGTTCTTGTGTTTTTTTTAAAATATATTAATTTTATTATTTGGACTTAGGTGTGCCGATTTATTATAGGTTGAAATAACTTTATTTCGTAGGTAGTCAAAATAAATAAAGAATAAGGTATTTAATATTGATTTCTAGATCCCGACTAGGCGCTCTAGGCGTTAGGCGTTGGTCGACACCTACCGACATTTAGAACACTGACGAGAATAAGCTCGAATATGACGTGTTCGACTCAATTTGGCTTCACTTATATAACTACTATTATGTGAAAATTTAAAGTATGATAAATTTTTAAGTGTTTAATGCAAACTACAAAATAAATGAAAAATATTTCATGTTGTTTTAGTAAATAAAAAAATAATACTTTCGTGTAATTTCTTCTTGTTTACTTAAATTTGACTTAAAAAATTATATAAATTATTTCAAATGCCACTGTGAGATTAACATTTTATTATTAGGCATGTCAATGCAACATACTTGTTATATGATATTTCAATTAAATTATGGAAGTCCAAATGTCATTTTATTGAGAAGACAGATTGATCTAATTAACATACTTGTTATATGATATTTTACTTTAATTGTGGAATTCCAAATGTTGTTTCATTGAATATGCTACGCAAAGTAATGAAATTCAATTATATATTTTACATATTCAAATACTATTTATTTAAAAATTAACAACTAATTAATATCACATATAAAGTAATATAAATAATATAAATTAATTGTGTTTTAAACCGAACATTAAAAATGAAATCAAAGAAAATAAATGACAAAGTAAGCTATAACCACAAAAAAATACATACAAGGTTCGAGTCATGTAAAAAAATATATATAAATTTTTGGTCTAATATAAAATAAATTTAAATTAATATGGACTAAATAATTTTATCATAAATTAAATTTGTAAAATATGGGCTAAAAATATTTTTTACTACTACAAATTTAGGTAAAATAAAAAAATTAGACCGGTTTGGTGCCAGGTGAGCTACCATGTGGCTACGCTCCTGACATCTATTGCATAAATAAAATGAATAAATATATTTATCTCTATAGTTTTTCCGTGGATATTTATTAGTATAGATCAAAAAAATAAAATTATTATAAAATCATTATATGAATTGGTTTGAAAATTTATTTTAATACCTAGCAAAACAATACAATAGGCACATAATTTTAGTCCAAATATAAATAAATAATTTTGTACATATGACATAAAATAAATGTATTGGTTTAAATTTTTTTTTTTTTTTTTTGGTACAGGTATTGGTTTAAATTTTAGCCAAATATAGATAATTTGTATGAAGCATATCAAAGATTTTGCCCGTGACAAGGACAACACACGAACAAAATAATATGAAATGCAAATCTAGGAATCATAAATTTAGGAAATATTTTGTCAAATCCATAACTTTTGACCAGAAAAGATGATATAACATTTTTATTTTCTATTTAAAAACAACTAGTACAATAATACTCGTATACTACACGTGTATTTGCTAAAAAATTATTTTTAAAAATTAATAATAATAACAACAACAATTGTCTAAAATTAAATTAATGTATCTATTATGCTAATTTGAGGTTGTTATAGAAATTAATGAACCAATTGAGAGCTTCCAAAATAAATCGAGGTTATATTAATCAATCAATATCGTTACTAAAAGTTCCTATACAGAGGGTTATATCAGTCAAACTATTATGAAATTACCAAGTTAGTTTTTCAATATTTTTGGAATGTCCGAACTTAAAACAGTTGATTTAGAATAATGTTATTTTTTTTATTCAAACCAAACTACAAAACATATTTTTTCGCTAAAGTAAGATTTCAAAGTGCGAAAAACTGTCACTTAAACTCAGCGCATTCGAAAATTATATAAGAGAGCGACGGGGAGATTTCACATGGTGGGTTTTTTTTTTTTATATTGATTGACTAAAAGGAATGCTGCTTTTTATTATATTATACAGCTGCAAAATTGGTCAAAAGAACACGGACAGCTCAACTAAAGGCTACATTAAAACAAATTCTCATTCTCACCTCATTTTACATTACATTTCAAGGATTTATCGGAAAAATATTCGCAACTGAAAGCCACGCGCTTTCCGTTGCCTTCAATTCATCAGTCTTCACACCTCGCTCTGCAATTCACTGTCGATATTACAAAACGCCTTCGCTTTGATAGCATTACAGTTTCTCAAACATCATCATCTTGAACTGTAAAAGGTGAGACGGTTTGTCAGAATTTATGTCAGATTTTGGAGATTTTTTTTCTTTTTTCCCGTGTTTATCTGCTTCGCGTGTCTGAAGGGTGCTCAATTTCTGCGAGGCTTTGACGTTTTTTTTGTATCTGAATCACAAATTCTTACACGAAACGCTTCTGTATGCTTTTTTGGAATTGGGTTTTGACTGTTTCCCATGTTGTCTGGAAACCTGTTGAGGTTGCTTGTGTTTTCTGTGAGATTAGATCTTTATGGGTTCTCTTGATTTGCGCTGCAAAATGATGGGATCGCGTAGATTATAGCTTTTGAGTGATTATTAAGGTACTTCAGTATCATTTGATGGGTTGTAGTGATTTTTTTGCTTAACTTGAATTTTACTTAATTATCTTTATGTTCTATTAGCAGAAAGAGGATGTAGTTTACTCTAAGGTGTTCAAGTTGAGTGGTTGTGGTAGTTCTATATGTAAAAGGTCCCAACTTTGATCCCTCGAGCTGCATTAGTTGACCGACTCAGTCCCACAATGGTAAAGGGTAGGCTAATTCAATGTTAGATTACCTAATGGTCTAACACTTTCGGTTGACTTGGGGAATTTTCCAAGGTCGTGTGTTGGTGAACAAAGAACTTCAAAATTCGACCGTATTTCTCTTTTAGATAGGAATCAGTGTGATTATATCTTATATTGTACATTGGATTTATTTTCTGCGGTTGAGGTGAAGGACGGTAAATGCAAGATTATCTTTTGTCTTTCCTTTTCGTGACAAATAATATGTGTTTATGGTCGCCAGATCGTGGGCTTTTGCATTAGTTTCCATTTGTTTATGCATGATATGTAGCTCTCTGTTTTGTTCACTGTGTTACTCGTTGCACATTACCAACATGTATCGGATATAACATTTGAGTTCTGCACTCGAGCAATTGACACATTGACGTTGCTTCCATAATATTTTTCCCTTTTCGTGTCTATGATTAGCATGAGAAGGCCTTACGAATGCTGTAGCTAGTCTCGACCAATTTATTATGCTGGCGCCTCTTTTTAATAAACTTCGCTCCATAAAAATATATTTAGCTTGTTTTGATAATCTGTGTAATATGACCTCTGATAATCCTTGGCATGTGATTGTCTGATTGCTTTTCTACTTTAGATAAATTTTTGGGCAGCACATCATGAGTTGTTTCGGTTGTTGTGAGGAGGATGACATGCATAAAGCTGCTGGTAATGGGCCGTACACTACCACTAATGCTGCAGGTTAGTTTTCAAATCTCAAATTCAAGGTTTGATTATAAAAAACTGTTTCCGGTTTACTTTCTACCTTACGGAATTGATGAGAGAATCTTTACCAAATATGAATTATAGAAGCTGATATAAATCCTTTGGCATCAGTTTCAAAACCGAAAGCAAAACATGTATAGATAGAAGCTCTTAACTACTGGGTAAATCAAATAGAGAAAGTAGTCAAGATTATGTTTTGTTTATTTGCCAGTTGTTAAATTGAACGAGCGGTTAATTGATACAACAAAAGATCCAACATTATTTCCCCATGGTGTTGCCATTGATGAATCTTATGCCTTTCTTTTGTTGTTATCGAACTAAGAAAAAAAAATCTTTTGTAGGCAATCATGCAGGCTATCACGCAAAAGAAACAGAACATAAGGAGAAACAGACTATCAGCATGCAACCGATTGCTGTGCCTACCATTCCAGTAGACGAGTTGAAGGACATTACTGATAATTTTGGTTCAAATTCGTTAATTGGTGAGGGGTCCTATGGAAGGGTTTACCATGGAGTCTTGAAAAGTGGGCTTGTGGCAGCAGTTAAAAAGCTCGACTCCAGCAAGCAGCCAGACCAAGAATTTCTAGCACAGGTTTTGACGGTTGCACATGAATAAGCTTTCAGCTTCTGGGTGAGCTTTCACTAAGACATGTTTATATTGTTTGTTATTGTGGTTTTTCAGGTCTCAATGGTATCAAGGCTAAAGCATGAGAATGTGGTTGGGCTGCTTGGTTACTGTGTCGATGGTGGTCTTCGTGTCCTTGCATACGAGTATGCTCCTAATGGGTCACTACATGACATCCTTCATGGTGAGCTGGGCTTAATTATTACACAGAATCTAATGTGATATTCTTATCTCTATATATATTATTGTAGGCTATCAATTTAATGTCATTTTCCCACTTTTTTTTTCATTTATTTATGGAAACTGACAGTTATATTTTGGATTTATTAAGTGTGATAATATTTTTATAACTTATTTATCATATAATAATTACTACCAAGATTAAGCAATTATAAATTCACACAAAAATTTTAGGAAAGTTATACGCGCATACACATTTTTATCGCAAAACTTTTTCTTCAAGTTATTTATTTTAAAGTTAGTATTTTATTTTATTTTTATCTCATTAAGATTTTTTTAATAACTAATTAGTTTTAATGGCATAGCAAAGTAAACTCCTTAAAATTGTATAAATAATTGCTACAAAAATTGTGATTAATTTTTTTTTTCAATTAGTCAATTGATCATGATCTTTTAAATTTGTAAAGATAACATTATTCGTTATATTTTACGCCATTTATGTATTTGTTCATATATGAGTAAAATAGCATAAATATATTGTTTATTTTTGCAATGATCAAATTTATAAAATGTGATATGTACACATATATTATTTGATAATAAATATTATATTCATACATATATTTTTTTTTTCTTTGCATATGTGCATGTACACAAGACTAACTACTAGTTTCATAATGCGTGGTTAACAACATTTAATGATGGCTGCAAATAAATCAACGGATGATATGAAGTCTGAAAAGGCAAAGTCTATGTTAGCTTGGGGAAAGGCGTAAATTACCCCGTTTCATTCATACAAGGATTGAGCTCTTGTACATCCCGTTTAGTATGAAACTAACTCTAGCTTTTAATAACTTAATATTAGGACGTAAAGGAGTCAAAGGTGCACAACCGGGTCCCGTCTTGTCATGGTCTCAAAGAGTTAAAATTGCTGTTGGGGCTGCTAGAGGACTTGAATACTTGCACGAGAAGGCACAGCCACATGTCATTCACCGTGACATCAAATCGAGCAATGTTTTACTCTTTGATGATGATGTGGCTAAGATTGCAGATTTTGATTTGTCCAATCAAGCTCCTGACATGGCAGCTCGTCTTCATTCTACTCGTGTTCTTGGGACTTTTGGTTATCATGCCCCCGAGTAATGCTCTATTTCTCCCCCTTTTTTTTCTTTTTCTGCATTTAACAAGAAATAAATAATACCGAATGTTTAAATTTTGATGCCAGATATGCAATGACCGGCCAGCTAAGCTCAAAGAGTGATGTGTATAGCTTTGGAGTCGTACTTCTTGAACTCTTGACCGGCCGTAAGCCAGTTGACCATACTCTTCCTAGGGGACAACAGAGTCTTGTGACATGGGTAACGAACGAACGCCATTTCCTTTAACTCCTTTTTTCATCTTTATCTTTTTTTTTTTTTTTTTTTTTTCCTTTTGTTCGTTTAATATATTGTTTTCTGAATATATAGAAACTTTCGTGCTTAAATTCCCTTTGCATGTAAATCAGGCCACGCCAAAGCTAAGCGAAGACAAGGTTAAGCAGTGCGTCGATGCTAGGCTCGATGGAGAATACCCTCCCAAGGCAGTTGCTAAGGTAAACCCAAGTTAACACTGAATTCTTGCATCGAAAAAAAAAAAA